GCGCAAATTGCAAAAAAATTAATCAAACTTCAAAAAAATGTCATCAAAATTTCAAAATTTTTAATTAGAATATTTAGAAAATTTTCGGNGTATGCATATATGTAAATACATCGTTGTAAAAGTATGTAATTTTCTATTTAGTAGCGATTAGCCGTTTGTGGTAGCAGTAATTTGATCTTAAACCTAATTGGTGTGACGCGCTAATCATTTCAATAAACGCTTTAATAAACACTATGCTGTTTGCGCTGTAGATAATATACATACAAACATATGTATATATACGTACGGCTATGTAATCAAAAAATAATTGAAATATCAATATAAAATTAACAACTTGTTAAATTTACAAGTAATTTTTAAGCGCCGAACAGGGCCGACTTCAATTCTTATATACAAATTTAAGATTATCGTTCATTTCTTCATGATCCAATAATAGGATTTAAACCCGAATAGTATGGTACCACCAGTGAGGTAACACCTTTCCTCTAAAAAAAGAATTAAATAAATCGGTTAACGTGGTCTAAAGTTATGCGTTAACATACAGATGCGTGCAACTAATTAGCAACGAAATTCAAAACGACATTGCTTGCAAATTATGTTTATTTATTTATTTTTAATAATTTTCATTTAAAATATATTTCAATCTATTTCAGAAACCACAATAACAAAAGTTGCAAAGCTTGCGCAAATTGCAAAAAAATTAATCAAACTTCAAAAAAATGTCATCAAAATTTCAAAATTTTTAATTAGAATATTTAGAAAATTTTCGGGTATGCAGTTTTGTAGCCCATTGAATTTTAGTATAATAAAGTGCAAGTTTCAAGTCGCTAAAAATTACCGTTGATTTTTTAGAATTTTTTTTTGTGGAGGGTGTTGCCCATTTTCTTCCATATAACACATGATCAAAATATTTTTTTACATGGAAAAAAAATCCGCAACACCCTCGACGAAAAAAATTCTAAAAAATCAACGGTAATTTTTAGCGACTTGAAACTTGCACTTTATTATACTAAAATTGAATGGGCTACAAAACTGCATACCCGAAAATTTTCTAAATATTCTAATTAAAAATTTTGAAATTTTGATGACAATTTTTTGAAGTTTGATTAATTTTTTTGCAATTTGTGCAAGCTTTGCAACTTTTGTTATTGTGGTTTCTGATATAGATTGAATTATATTTTAAATGAAAATTATTAAAAATAAATAAATAAACATAATTTGCAAGCAATATCGTTTTGAATTTCGTTGCTAATTAGTTACACGCATCTGTATATAAAAAAAATATATTCCGACTAATTGATAACCTTCTCCTTTTTGTGAAGTTGATTAAAAAATAAAGATATTGTAAATAAATTAAAGTTTTTACAGTGTTGCCTCATACGTGCTATTGCACAGAGACCGAAAATAACTTTTATTGTAAATTTCAAACACTTAGAAGTCAAAATTTTCGCAGAAGACAATTGTTGATGCCCTTGTCTTCCTCTTGATCTTGTCTACAAGAATCCAGAATAATTTTTTTTACAACTTTTTTGAAAAAAGTACAATTTCAACTGTTAAAGACTGACTTAAATATTCAAGCTAAACCAAGCCAAATATTTTTTTGACTAAAATAAAAGGCTTTGTGAAATAACAAGTAAAAAATTTAAATTAAAAAAATCGAGGGCGCAGTTTTCGTATGATAAGTGCAAATTGGAAGTGGTTGAGAACTCGCTTTGATTTATAACCGACTTCAGAAAAATGAGGAGGTTATCAATTCGTCGGAATACTTTTTTTTTATGTATATTACCGCATAACTTTGGACCATGGTGGTCCTATACTAATTTAGATCGGATCCGATCATTGGATCATAGAGAAATTAACGATGTTTTTAAATTTTTATATGAGAACCGAATGAAGTATGTTTTTTTTTTGCTTAAAAATTATTAGTAATAAATTTTTCGCAGATGGTTCTACGTAAAATCTTTAATTTTAAGTATGCCCGATAGCTGATTGTAAGTAACTAGTTTTTGATTCACTTGCTAATTCAGAACTATCCAATGCCGAACAAACTACACTCCGCGTCGCTTGAAGAGGCACACACTTTTTCCTCAGATCTGAGCTTATATCTGGATTTTTTTCGGCATCGGAGACATTTCTTTTTGATCTCATATTGAAGAATGATCAATTTCACAGAAAAGTAGTGAAAATGGAGACAACACCTCTATTACTTAGGATTTTATTCCAAGTTTTATCGAACTACATGCAAATTATGGCTATTATTTTGATTCATTTGAATAGGCACAGTGATCTTAACACAACGAAAGGACTTGATTTAACCAACAAAAGCATGCCATTAATTTTAATTCTAGTATATAACACTTTTAGTATTGGATACTACATCCTTAATTCCAATGTATGGAGAAACTCCTATCCGGAAGGCGATTCTAGAGGCGCTTTGAAAAATCAAGGACATCTCGCTGCTTACCACTTTAATCGGCGGAAAGTACAACTGCCAATCATCACATGATTGTCTGGGGTGGGTACAAAAAACATTCGTCCTTTCAAAAATTGTGACAATTATTATTAAATCCGTTGTAGCCATCAAAATTACACTTTTCGCCAGTGAAAACTACAATTTTCTAGTTGTTATCTCCGGCATGAGAGTTTTACAAAATTCCAGTCATGATTCTTGAGGTTTTATAGTAAAATTGATGCCTCTTTTTGACATTTTCTGAACACAAGTATATAGAGTAATCGGTAGTTCCCTTGTGGTGTCATCAACACAAACGTTCTTCTTTCACTTTGGTCCACTATCTCGACAATATGATGCTGACCTTGTAAAGGAATTTTGTTATTTCCGTCTAGCTTTTGTGTTCTGGCTCCATTTCAAGGTTTTTTATGCGAAGCTGTGAGCCGGCTTCAGCTGTCAAAATCATTTGCATTTCCTTCAGTTTTATTTCCAACATATCGCCTGCCAAGTCCTGGATCCATGAAGCTCTCCATTTATGCATTTTTTGCAGTTGAAAGTGCGCGTGTTTTACCCATTCCTGCTGTGTTATAGGTCTAATTATCTTTAAATTCCTAAAAAGATTTTAAGTGGAGTTTTAATAACTTTGCTATACACATACACCCAGCCTTGTACCTATTAAAGTAAATCAAAATAATAGCCATAACTTTCGTGTAGTTTGATAAAAAGTGGAATGAAATCAACGTAGTAAGGGTGTTTTCTTCATTTTCACCACTTTTCTTCGAATTGAATCATTCTTCAAAACGAGATCAAAAAGAAACTTCTCTGATGTCCACAAGTCCCGATTAAGCCCCAATTGGATCTTGAGGAAAATATGTGTACCTGTTGAAGTGAAACGGGGAGTATGTACATTAGGGGCTCCCCCTAGGGTTGTTCTATATCGAAAAAATTAGGCCCCTATTTTTATTGGGAAATCAAAAAATATTTAGAGGTCGCTCAAAGCGTTCAAAGGTTTCCATGTATTTTGTATGGGAAAAAAACAACTTTTTGTAGACATTGTATGGAATTCTTGAAAATCAATATTTTTTGGTCACTAAAATCCGGTTCTGACTTCCAATAACAATACCCAATTAATTATTTAAACATTTTTTAATAAAAGATTTTTGATATCCAATGGGGGATAACATTTGATTTTCCGGGGGTTTTGGCGGAAGAAAAAAATATAGGTACTATGAAAAAATGGTTAAATTAATAATTGGTTGTTATTATTTATTGGGTATCTCCAGAAGAGAAACAGAGTTTTCCGATCGAAGAATATTGATTTTTAAGAATTATATACAAATTCTACGAAAAGTTGTGTTTTTCCCATATAAAAGCATGGGAAACTTTGTGCGCTTAGAGCGACCAAATATAATATAGGGGTCTATTTTTTTAAGTACAATCCTAGGGGGTGAGACTTTACTTTTTCACGTGCACTTTTGAACCACCCTAATGTACATTTGTAGTTTTGAATTCTAGCAGTTAAGAGCAATCGGTTGATGACAGTTATTAAAAGCATAGAATGAATAGGTCCTTTCTATTTAAAACTGTTGAAAAAGTATACCTGGAAAGCAAAAAATTTAGTTTTACATACTTTTTTTTGTTTAAGCGCTTTATATAGAAAAATATAAAATTTTAAATCAGTCTTATTTTAGGCTCTTAGAGAGATTTTAGATTTTTATTTTTGAGTTTAATTGAGCTCTATCTCAATAGAAGTTCGATTTCTGAAGTGATCGTATTCCTAAAGAAAAAATAAAAATAAATTCTCATTTTTGTTGTTGGTATTTCCGACAGGGTAGGAGTGTGATGTAATGTGGAACGATTTTCCGTCATCCCTTGTCAAATTTGGTTTGGAGACAACCCGGTTTCGGCGTTGTGCCATCTTCAGTGTCATTTTTCACATTACATCAAAAATAAATTCTTTCAAACCCGAGTTTAATAAAACAATTATATTATTTGTTTTTCAAGGACACTAAAATAAGCGACTCGTGAGATTTGCTCATATTTTTTACTCTTGAAAAGTGAACACAATGACACCAAAAACGAAGTTACAATAAAAACTCTATACTTAATAATTTAAAAAGTTACTGCATGAGCTGGAAATTATAACTTTTTTATATGCTCCCATAGTAAAAATTAAAACACATTTTCTTCTAATGAGCTATTGTTAATCGATACCGCTATGAAATTTTTACACAACATAGAATAAGAGGTTTCGTTAATTTCCGTTTAGCTACTTAACTAAAAAATATTTTTTTTGGATTACGACACCCTTGTAGCAAATATGTTGTTGTTAACAAATTTTTAACTAAACGCAGTTAGGGTGGTATTGAATTTAGTTTAGAAGCCGAAGTTGTACCAAGCGACAAACGTTTGGAAGATTTATAGCACGCTATCCTGTCTTGTGCGTCAACAGGACGTTATCCTTGCAAAATAATAATATGTATTTAATATTTTAACACTGTTTTTGCTATAAACTAACTGTTCTTTTTTTTTTGGTAATTACTATTTTCAGATGTTCCAACACAAATTCCACCGCTCACACCAGGTACAAATCGAAAGGTAGCCGAAGTGCTGAAAGCCTCTTTCGCTTCATGGGAGAAGGAGGTGCAGAACTGCAATATTACCAAAGGTGAGTTTAACTTAACTATAAGTAAGTAGCTTACCCGGCACGCTTCGGTACACCCTACAAATTTCAAGTTGCATTTCTACACTCAGAAACAGAAAAATGTCAGCCAAATATATTTATCTCAACACGTTGGCCGATTCCGCTGAAACTTGACATGTGCTCTAATTTTTTTATCAATAGGGTTTTTATTATGAAATATGGTAAAGATGGGCTTATTGACAAGCCTTCTACCCTTGTGGGCGTTTCATGCGATTTTGATGGAATTCGCTATGTAGTGAGTAAATGATGTGAAATTTTGTATTTATGACTTTTAGCCCAACAGGTGTTTTTATCAACTGTCGCTAGAATTTTTCCGCCTGCCTGCATACATATAGTCGAAACACTGTTTGACGGAATGTAAATTTTATCGAACAAAATAAAATTTGATTCCATAAAGTGGTTCCAAGAAAAATCTCCAAAAAATAACTACTAAACGTTCCAAAAAGGTTCTGATAAACCATTAAAAATAAGCAATAAATATTAGAAACCGGGGAACAATCATTATACATACTATTCTATAGACCATAGGCTCCCAAAATTTGTTTTCTCGTATACCACTTTCAAAACTTTACTGGTTTTGGTGGACCCCTTGCTGCTACATTTTTGGTGAACCCCTTGCTGCTACATTTCTACCATATTCCCAAAACTCGTCAACAAAGTTGAAGATTAGATCTAAGTATGGAAATTTGCATCGCGGCTCAGTTCCAACCCTAAAATCAGAGTAGTAAAAATAAAAATTGTATATTTTCTTTTTTATATTTACTAAAATAATATGACTACTGACTTGTAAGTTTTTTCAAGCAACATTCTCTGACCTTCTTAATCATAGTTCGTAGAGCCAGCGAGAGCGTATAGCTGTGAGGAGTTATTTGTTTCTGATCACTCCAATTTCTTACAGTCATTGCGCTGGCATTATTTACATTATCTTCACCATAAACTCCTCACATGTTTGGCTCACTTACAAATTTGCACGAAAGTATGTATTTGTAAAAGAGTTTATTCGTATTAATAGCATCATTTTTATTTTCACCGCGAGTGATGCGAAAAAAATTTATCCCTCACATTTTTAAAACACAAAACTTGAGATAATAAAACCGCAAAGCGTTTTACCTTTAATTCCGAAAATGCCAAAAGAGAAAAGACCGAATCTAGAAAAATCTATAAGAAATAACCAAGCAATCGGCGCATCAAATTTAAAGCATAAATAAATTGATTGCCTAATTTGCGCTCCCTTCTGCTTCAAAGAGTTTATCAAAGATTAAAACTACTGCGTAATGAAAGCTGCATGAGCAAAATGGAGTAATAAGGAGTAATATTTTGAGTTGCATGGGAGCGTGAGGTAAATATATTGAGGTTTAGAAACTGGCTTATTTTAACGATAAGCGCTCCTTTCTTTTTTAACTCACAAATGAGGAAATCAAAATTGATTGTTCTTGAATTGAGTTGAAGTGAGGAGGAAGATGGAAATTTTATTCCTCAGTGAGGAATTTTTGCGAACTCTCCTAAAATGCACTAATGAAAAAGGGGAGGTTAAAAGAAATAAAGCAAAATAAGCAAGGTTTCTAATCCATATTTCGGTCTAACTGGAAAAACTTTTTTCAAGCCCGTTGCGAACTTGCAAATCTTAATTTTTTTCACGCAAAACGTAGACTCCCGTCGAGTATCCGGTCTACCTAGACCACTTTGGAGATCACTGGTTTAGACTCTAAACTTTAGGGCTAACCATATATATAAAAAAATATTTAAGTAATTTTTGGTTAGCTGGCATGCATGTCATCGAATCGATTTTTCCAATCCGGTTTCCACCGTATTTTAGATATCTATATGCGATTTGTTTGAAAGGCTTTTTCCAGTTTAGGGGAACCTCTTAATAGTTTTAAAATTACATAGGTACTAGGTAACCTAGGATAGGTTAATTGGGGGTGATCAGTATAACATATTTGATTCCAATAAACGAATGTTTGGCGCTTAATCGTTTTCTACGTGTTTGGCCCAGTCTCTCCTCCAATTCGGGTTCTGCTTCTTGATGTTGTGACACAAATGGAACGGACGGACAACCGCTATTTGAAAAATCTTTTTGATATTGCTGGGACCAGAAATTTAACCATGGGCCTCCCGAGTGGCAGTAGGCACATCCAAGCACTCGGCTACGGTGGCAGGTGCTAGGTTTTTCACGCGGCAATTTTTCGAATAAGTCGAAAACCAGTTTTGGAAAAGGGCGAATAATCGAACACCCTAGTATTTGCGGGTGTTTAAGTTATTTGTACACTGAGAAAAATTAACCATTTTGTATTTTCTCAAACTAAAACACATATTATTTGGCGTCTAACAATCTCTTACTTCAAACAGATTTTTTGGAGATTTTTTCCTTTGAGTACATTTTTGTTCTGCACTTCACAAATGCTTTTTTATATGTAACTAAAAAACCTAAAGAAAAATCAAAAACTACAAGTTGCGTCAGACGGCAATTGAACCTGCACACTCAGCTACAGCAAAACAAGTACTTGAATGTATTATTTATTTTTAAGATTGTTTAAAAAATACTTTGCCTGTTCGAAAATTTCAATCTCTAACAAGGAAAAACTGAAAATGAACCTGTTTAAAAAAATCATTACACTTTTTTCTTAGTGTACCAGAACTCATTTAAACCTACTAACCTACTAAGGGAAAAGAAGTCTACCACTTTTTTTTATGAAAAGAACGAACACTGAACACTGAAATAGGTTTAGTTAATTTCTCCATAATCTATATCTATATATATAACACCGCAAGAGATTTTTTGCAAAGGTTATCAGATCCACACCGTTTGTTCGATTTTCAAAAATGAAGTGTCAATTTAAAGGGCTTGCGCTGTAGATGTGCAGTAAGATTTAAATTTTTCGAAAGGAGCTGCCGCCTGTTAAGAAATTAAGCTCAAATTGTTAAAAAAGTTAAATAAATTGTTATAATATGGGTATCAACCCAATTGATTTTGAAAAGGCTTTATACCTTAACTACGTGTTATAGGGTTGCCACTTGTTTAAAAAATCTAATCCAATTTTAATCAAAGGAATTAGATAAGTGAATAAGGTATCACCATATGAGTATTAGAGGAGAGAGGTTTAAGAAGATAATAGTTTGAAATTATTTTGGTAAGGATTGCCATCTGTTTGAAAAGTTGAATTAAATTAATTTATGCCCAAGTTTTATGAAATAATAAAAATGGTTGTAAAACGAAGGAGTTTTAAGAAATATTTACTTTGACAATTTACAATACTTTTGATGTGTCTGAGAGTTGCCATCGGTTTAAAAGGTTAAATTAAAATTATTGAATAAGTTAAATGAATTACAAAAAGATGGTTAGCAATTAAAATAGGCTAAAAATCCTATATTTCTGAACTATATATACTAGGGTTTAAAAAATTTAATTCCACTTAATTCATCAGATATTTGAAATATTTATAATTTTAATTTTATATTTTATAGAAAAATCAAGTTCAACATAATTGGTCAGTTAGGAAGATTTTAATTGGGTTGCTACCTATTTTTTTGAGGTCATTCGATTTTCATACACCGTTATTTCGAATTTGCAAAAAGAGAACTCAAATTAAAGAACTGGGATTGCACATAAATGTGCAATAACGTTTTATTTTTTGAAGTTAAAACTTTTTAGCGGTATAGAGTGGTTAGAAATTATATGAAAAGAAAAACCGACACCATGCGAGACATCTCTCCACTCAGAAATGTGGGGGTTTGAATAGTGTTTCCACCTTTTTAAAAAGTTAAACTTAATTTTGGCGTTTTAAAGCCATGCGGGTTCACTAGGTTTTAATATATTTTCCAAGGGAATGATTCGGTTTGCAAAGATATTATAAATGTATGAACATTTATCGGAACAAACTTGAAACCCTTACCATTTTGTTTTGCCTACATCATTTTGATAGTATTTTTTTCACAATTTTATAAAAACACACGATTTCGTGAATTACCCGATCAGACCTATATGCTTATTATATCTAATATGACACTTAATTTAATTTGTTTGATGTTTAAATTTTAAAAACTTAATTTGTAACCAAAAAAAAAAACGACCGAATAGTTCCCACCATGAGATGCTTAGGACACTTAAAATGCTATAAACTTCTTTAGGATAATTTGAAATTTATAGTCGCAGTAGATAGTTATGTCCCGCCCCTCTCATGCTATCATTTATTTTTAATTGATATTGTCCTATTTCACACAATTATAATCACAACTAATTTTCACATAATATTTCTACTCGCAATTAACTCCCACACTCAATTTACAACTCGATGTTAATAATCGTGCATTGGTACAAGTAAAATACCAAACATACGTGATATATGTAAATAAATTGTCTCAAGTCGTAACTTGTTAATATTCCAAACAAATTTACACGCATTTGATTGCTTTCGTCAATAATATTAATTAAGGGAAATGGCAAGTGAAATAAAAAAAAATACAACCTCAACACTGTTAAGTGAGCATATCGAATGCATACCAATAACATTTTTTTTAATTTGGATATCTCTGTGAGAAAAAATGCCCACCATATTTCTTAAGTGTGCCTACATACATACATACAAACATGCATTAATTTTTCATTTCTTTTTAAGATCCCCGCGAATGGACGGAGGAACATGTCATCTATTGGCTAAACTGGGCAATCAAAGAGTTCTCGCTGGTCTCAATGAATTTGGAGCCGTTTATAAAAATGAAAGGACGTGATATGATTGAATTGGGCAAGGACAAGTTTCTAGCGATAACGCCGCCATTTACTGGCGATATTTTGTGGGAACATTTAGATATACTACAGAAAGGTAAGTGGCAACGAGTTTGGAGTATTAAAATACAAATAAGACAAATGAAATAAAAAAATAATAATAAAAGTACGAAGGAAACCAGAAGATTGTACTTAAAGCAAATTAGTAAGAAAACATGATTTTCTTAAGCTAAGGTCAATCAAACCCTGTTCAAATGCCATCTACGCTGATGAAGCGACTGGAATATTAATGTGCAGTTGGCGCCAGCAAATATTTCTAA